AAAAAAAAACCCCAAAACAATTGTTATTTTTTATTCTGAACCTTAAGTGCACAAAAAGAGCATTTTCAAACACAAAAAGATTCTATATGAAACTTTAAATCTCCCTTTCATACTATTTGCTTTTAAAAAGAAAAGCATATAATAAATTATACATGTTGCTTTCAAAATAGTACTTATCTGTGCTTCTGAACTTCCTTCTGTGCTGTGCATTTTTTCTTATTTTTTTTGTTTCTTTTTTTCCCATTTAATAGTATTTTATTTTTTCCAATTACATATAAATATAGTTTTCAACATTCATTTTTTATAAGATTGCAAGTTCCAAATTTTTTCACCCTCTGTCCCTCCCCTCCCCTCTCCTCTCCCTAAGACAGCAAGCAATCTGATGTAGTGTTCTATATGTTTTTAAAAAGGTTTCAGTGCCCCTTTTATTTGGCATTACTATGGATAACCATCACCACTCCCAATTAAGAGAATTAATTGAGAGAAAGGAGAAAAAATCCTTCTAACAAGTAAGCACAGTTAAAACAAATCCAAACAGTGGCCCTGTCCAAAAGTGTTTGTGTCTATACTATGTATCCAACACCTTTCTGTCAGGAGGTGCGTTAACAGTTGCTTCATCATAGGGCCTCTGGAGACACAGTTGGTCATTTCATTGATCAGAGTTTCTAAGTCTTTCAACATTGTTTCTTGTTTGTTTTTTACAATGTTGTCCTTGTATAAAGTTTTCTGGTTCTACTCACACCACTTCACCCCTTCAAGTTACCCAGTATTCTCTGAAATTGTCTTTTGGGTCATTTTTTATCTTGTAATAATATTCTGTTACATTTATATACTGAAATTTGTTCAGCTATTCACCAGTTGTCAAAGAGGCAATCTGATAGTCTAATTATAGTCTCATAGTCTGATTGAAAAAAACCCCAAACTTTTAATCCCTCCAGTCATCTCCAGGCTAAGCATCCCTAGCTCCTTCAGCCAAAGTCATATGGCATGTTCTCCAGTCTGCACACTAGTCTGATCATCCTCCTCTAGATGTATTCTAGGATGTATCCATGTTCTTCCTAAAATATGGCCCCCAGAGCTGAGCACGGTATTCCAGCTGTGGCGTCACTAGGAAATAGTACAGTGAAGACTATCACCTTTTTATTATTTTGTTTTGTTTTGGGGGGGGTTGTTGGAGGCAATTGGGGTTGTGACTTGCCCAGGGTCACACAGCTAGTAAGTGTCTGAGGTCACATTTAAACTTGGGTCCTCCTGCCTCCTGGGCCAGTGCTCTAATCCATTGTGTCACCCAGCCTCCCCTCTATCACTTTCTCTTGCCTCTCGGTGCACTATAGGATAGCAGTCCCTTTTTTGGTCATCCTCTTTAAAGAAGAAGCAGGAGACTTAATGAAGATGGGGCCATTCTCAGAGTCAGGAAGACCAGAGTTCAAGTTGTACCTGATACCTACCAGACCTGTAAACCTTAGGTAAAAATCACTTTGTCTCCTAGGACTCCTGACACTAAATCTTCAAGCCTTGTAACCTCAGTGTTATCCTTGACCCCTCATTTTCCCTCCCCTCATATATTCAGTTGTTTGCCAAATATTACTTTTTCTACCTCCACAATATCTCTTCCACTCGTCCTTTTTTCTCTACTCACAGCCACCACCCTAGTTCAGGCCCTTATCACCTCTTGACTGGACCATTGCGACAGCTCCCTATTTGGTCTCTGCCTCAAGTCTCTCCCCACTCCAGTTCTTCCTCCACACAGCTACCAAAGTGATTTTCTTTAAGCACGAATTTGACTGTGTCACTCCTCTACTCAACAAATGCTAGTAGCTCCATGTACCTTCTAGGATCAAATATCAGCTCTTTGGTTTGGCTTTTTTAGAAACTAAATGGCTATCTTTTGTTTTTACATGACATCTATATTTCCCCCGTATCCCTTTTCTTTCCTTTACTTACAACAAAGATTTTTTAAAAGAGAAAAAAAATCAGCAAAACCAATGAACATATGTAAAAAATCTGACATCATATTCAATATTCCACACCTGTTGATCACCACCTCTGCAAAAGAACAGGGAAGGTGTGTTCTTACATCTCTTCTATGGGCACAAACTTGTTCTTTGTAATTTATTGATCTTCAGTTTCATTTGTTCTATGGTGGCTGTTCTTTCCATTTGTGTTGTTGTAGTAGTCATTGTGTATATTGTTTTCCTGGCTCAGCTTATGTCTCTTTGCATCATCTTTTGACTTTTAAAACAGTCCACAACCTGGTCCCAGTCCATGTTTCCAGCCTTATAATACATGATTCTCTTGGCCTGCACTCTTCAGTCCAGCCAAACTGATCTCCTCTCTGTCCCTCACACATGGCGTTCCTATCTCCTGTGTCTTTTTGAAAGTTCACTGTCCCCAAAACCTGGCGTGTGTTTCTTTCCCACTTCATCAAATGCTTTGATTCCTTCAAGATGGAGCTTGATCATCACCTCCATTGAAGCCTTTACTGGCCCTCAAAATTGCTAGTGCCCCCCCCCACAATTACCTTGTATTTAACCATCTTGTATTCATTTTGTGTTTATTCTGTATTTTGTATCAACTTATGTACATGTTATCTATATGATCTCTCTCTACTTGGAACATAAACTTGAGAAAAGACTGCTTGATTCTTTTTTCCTTCATATTGTGAGGAATGCTAACAATTTGGTTCCTAGAGAATTGATAAGAAAACAGGACAGGGGGAGATTAGGTTATTGATTAATTGATTTCTTGGTTTATTGGTTTACACAAATATGTGAACAAGATAAGGGAGTGAATGGGATAATATAGGGTGAAGCCCCCTCAGGGGAATGAACTAACCCTAACCTCAGTTACTTTTCATACTTATGACTGTTTTGAGACTGCACCTAGATGCCTTGCAGCACATTCTGGCTAAACCGGATGTTCCCGTTGTACAAAGAGACCACTCCCCTTTAACTTGTTTCTATGGAACTTCCTTCTGTAGAAGTTAGAATTCCATGAATAGATTGTGCCCCTAATATACCCAGCCAATGGGTTGAGGGGAAGGGTGTTAGGGCAGAGACATTGTGGATAGGGTCTATATATTCTGCTTTACAAGACACTCAGGTGCACACCCTGGCTGGAGCCATCTTGAGCGAATGCTGGGTGTGTCCTTTCTCATGAGAAAGCAATAAAACTCCTTTTTGCCTTTCTTAAGAAAAAGTCTCTGATTTAATTATTTTGAGGGTCACAAACACCCCACACAATATCCTCAGTGCCAATTACTGTGTTGCTCAGCACATAGTTGTGTGGTTTGTCTTTCGTTCTCAAAGAGGACCAAGACATCAGGAAGATGATGCCATGACTTGCGAGTGAATTAGATTTAAGTGAGAGAGCACTGTGTAAAGTCACCAGCCTCACTTTCTCCTCCAGAGCCATCTTGGTCCAGTGGCCAGATATAGATCAAGACAACTGGAGATAGCCTAGGATGCAGTTGGGGACCTTGGCCTTTTTAAGCTAAGGTCTTTCCAAGTTCTCACTTTGAGTGAGGAAAGGCCCATTCAGTGAATAGGGCTGTTTAAGAAGTGAGTCAAATTAAAAAACAAACAAAACTCTCAAACTGGGAGGGGAAAACCCTCAGCGTTTTTGGCCAAAAGAGAAACAATATTTACATTCACTCTGGCTCTCATTGACTGGCCAACAATAGGTCTCTGGTCAAGTACCACTTAATCGCTATTTTTTGGGCCCGGATAGCTCAGAGTGAGTTGAGTTTTAGGTATGGTCTTTAAGAAAGAAATCTAGCCAGTAAACCCCAAGGTATCAAGGTAGGTTTCAGCCATCAAAATTTACCTTTCTTCGGGCAGAGCATCTTCAGGTAAGGGCATGATACCCCATGTGGGGAGAGGAGAGGAGAGGCAGCACATAGTGCTTGATGAATACTTGTTGATTGCTTGGTTAATAAAAACAGTCAGAGGCCCTGGACAAATCTTTGGGGTACTCAATGGGGAATCAAACTATGTTCCCTTCCCTCAGTCTTTTAATAAAAGGAAGATAAAAAAAATGAACACAAGTAACCACAATCTGCCTGTGGGAGTGCCACAGAGATACATAGGTATGAATATTCAGGAGAAAAGGAGAAGAGATTCCTGGGGGATTTGGTATTTGAGTTGTCTTGGAAAAAATGTGTAACTAAGGATGACAAATCCCTAAGGTAGAGGAGTTGGAGTCACATCCCCCCAGGCTTTTCAGTGGGAGACTAATGGAGGACAGGCTTCTTTGGGGAAAGGAAATAACAATAATGTGAGGGTCATATCCCCCATAAGGCCTGTTGGGGTTGGGGGGGAAGGTCAATTCCTGGGGTGCAAAGAACCTTGGACATGCAGTCAGGAGAGACCCGGCCATTAAAAAGCAAGTATTAAGCGCCTACTTCACGGGCCAGGCATTGTGCCACAGGGTAGAGGCACAAACAGTTTTATATAGCACCTGCTCTCAAGTTTACATTCTATTGAGGGCTGGGAGCCGGCAGGGAGTGGGGCGGGGTTGTACATAACTAGGCATATAAAAACAAGTACAAGATAATTGGGAGAGGGTAGAGAGACAATCTGGGGGAGAGGGGAGTAGTTAGAGAGCTGGCCTTGGAGTCCGAAGGACCTGGGCTCCAGGAATCCCACCTCTGACCTATACTAGCTGGGTGGTTCCGAGCTGGACGCTTTCCCCAGATCCATGCCGCAGGCAACAATAGTAGACCAAATTGCATACTGGGCTGCATTGATGGACGGAGTTTTCTTTCTGGGCAGCTCCCTACACCACTGAAATAATAGATCTGGACAAAAAAATAAGTGGTGGTTGGGGTACGCTTGCCACTGAGGGACCAGGGAAGTCCTCTTTAGGCGATGATATTTGAGCAAAGCTGAGAAGGGAGAAGGGAGTGCATTCCAGGCGCGGGGGGCAGCCTAACCAAAGGCACAGAGATGAAAGTCCTGCGGAGGATCAGCGAAAGCCAGCTCTGCAGGACAGAAGAGGGTGGGGAAGATGCCTGCAAGGGCCACTTTTTAGCGGTGGGGACGGCATTTCTCCGAACCCCAGTTTCTTCCTCTGCAGCAAGAGGATAATGACACACCGCAGGAAGGTAGGACCTGGTAAACCTTTCGCACGCACCTCTGCAGTGAGTTACTTCCTAGCCCCTCCCTTTCATTGCTGGCCCCCCCATAGTGGGCAGCTCCAGCTGGCCAGCTGCTGCGCCACGATGCGGCCGCTAGGGGACGCAGCGCCACCACCGCCACTCTGATCGTGCCCGGACCCAGCCAGCGTGGGGTGCCCGCCCCCTTGCCCTCCCCCTTCCCCTCTGCCTGGGGACCCACGTTCGCCCGGACTGACCGAGGAAGGGGCGGGTAAGGAAGGCAGCCCGGCCTTGCTCGCTCCCCGTCCCGCAGCCCCTTCGGCGCCTCCCCCATCTCTCCTGCGACCGGCCGGAGCCGCGCCCCCTCCCTGGCCAGCCCCGCCTTCGCGCGTGGGAGACGAAGGGTTAAGGCGCTGGATGGTTTCCCTAAAGCTGGCGAAAACTGAGGGGGGGGGGGTGCCTGCTGGGAGGGGGCGGGTCCGCCCCCGGCCCCTCCCCCCGCTTCCCCCCGCTCCCCTCCTCTCCCCTCCCCTTCCCGAACGGTTCGGGGCTGCTGGCTGGTGCCGAGAGGAGCCAGCGGCCAACACCGAGCTCGGAGCCGGGACTGGGGCCGGAGCCGGAGCCGGAGTCCGCCCGCCGGGCCCGGCCCCCTCCTCGAGCGGCTGAGCCGGGACCCTCGGGTAAGTGCCGGCCCGGGGAGGGCGAGGGGCACTTGGGGGAAGTTGGCGGCGAGGCGCCGGAGCCACGCTCCTGGCCCTCGGGCCGCCCGGCCCGGGACTGCGGGGTCTGGAAGGCGCAGGCGTCCGCGGCGGGACGGGAAGTTTGGGGTAGAGCCGGGAGAGTGTCCAGCCGGAGCCGGGGAGCCGTCGATGGCAGGGAGGAGGATTGGGCGGGGCGCACACCTGCCCAGACCCCGCATTCCTTTCTGCCCCCCCCATCAGGGCCCTGGGGATGCTGGGAGGGCAGGGGTCCCAAGTGCATTCCCCCCTCCCTCCAAGGCAAGCTCCCGGATTGCCTGGCTGATTTCATCTGGTCCAGCCCCTAGCCAACCCTCCTGTATCTCCATCACCTACTCCTTTTCCTCCATGATTCAGGTGGTGTTGTGGACAGAACCCTGGACGGGGAGTTAGGTCACCTAGGTTCTAGTTGCAGCGCTGTCACCAGTTTACTGTGTGAATTCGGACAAATCACTTTCCTGTTGTGGACCCCGGTTTCCTCATCTGTAAAATGGGTTGGCTGGATGAGCAGTCCTCTAAGATCATTTCTGATTCTTATATTCTGTGATTCCTTTCTAGGTAAAGGTGCATCCTACACCCCTTTGGTCCTCCCCATCATCCAGGCTGGGCTGAGGAGTTTGTTCTCTGCCCCTGGAGATCAGGACAGAAAGTCACAGACAAACTGACTAATGTCTCATTCTTAGGCTCAGCCTTGGGGACTGGAGATGCCTTTGTGACCTCTGCTGAGCTCCATAGTCTGTCTTTCCCTCAAGGGAGCACCCACTGGCCCTGAAGACTAGGAAACTAGGGTCATCAGGGACTGACTGGGTCATGGCCCTGGGCCAGCAACCACTTCCAGTGCCCCCCAAGTGAGCAGCCAGCTATGGCGACCAGTGGTGCCCGAACCTTTGTTTGGCATGTGTTCCCGTCCATGCCCACCTGTCGGGTGTACTGCACACCTGCATACCAGGATGGGCACCTTTTTGTGCTGGGTGGGTGCAGCCGGGCAGGACTGCCTTTGGGCACAGCAGAGTTGCTGGATGTAGCTTCCCATAAGTGGCTTTCACTGCCCCCACTGCCCACACCTCGAGCTGGTGCAGCTGCCATAGCCCTAGGCAAGCAGGTGTTGGTGATTGGGGGCATGGATGCTGGGCAGAGCCCCCTGGCTTCTGTGGAGGCTTACCACACGGATGAAGGCCGCTGGGAGCTTCGAGCTGCCCTGACACAGCCAGCCATGGGCATCTCAGCCTTGGAGAGGGGTGAGCAGGAGCTTGGGTGTGGGGAGGGTAATCTGGGATAGGTGCATGACTCTGAAGAAATTGTGAAATGCTTGCTGGACCTCCAAGGGAGATAGAATGTAACCCTTGGATTCCAAGATCATAGGGGAGTGTGATCAAGCACACGGTAATCCTGGGGCAGTAGGTTATAACAAAGAGCCCTGGATTTGGAATCAAAAGACCTGAGTTTCAATCCCTGCTCTGCCAATTAATAACTAGTTGACCTTAGACAAGTGATTTCCTTTCTCTGGATCTGTTTTCATTTCTATAAAATGAAGGGGCCAGATTAGATGATGGCTATGGTCCCTTCTAACTCTCAATCAATGATCCTAGAAGAGTAACTCTGAGGGGCTCTTTAGGGGAAAGAGGGAACAGCTGGGACCTGAGTGCCCTAGGTAAGCACAGGACTTAGGTTCCTAGTGGATCCCAAGCGGGAGGAGCCTCTTCCAACCCCTAATTTGTACCCCATTCCCAACCTTTTTGCCTCTTTTCTAGCACACTGCCTAGCTCTCTTGTGGTTTCTTTTTCTACGAATTTCTCCCAGGTCACTTCCCCCTCCCCCTTACTCCAAGACAGGCATTTTGACCTGGGTATTAAAATTAGTGACTATTGATTAAGCCTGTACTATATTCAAGAATCTTGCTCTGTGTTAGAGCTGCTAACAAGGAAAATGACACTGTCCCTTCCCTCAAGAAGCTTCTAGTTTACTGGGGGATGACATGTATACAAATAAATGTTATAAAAGATAGGTTTATGTGAGGCAAAGTCTTCTTGAACAAGACAGGCAGCACTTGAGTCTTGAAGAGTTTTAATGGATAAGAAGAAAGCATTCTGTGTGGGGAACAATAGTCTAGTGTAACTGAAATTTAGAGAATGTGAAAGGGAGTAATGAGAAAAAAGTCTCGAACTCCTGAACTGCTAAGAACTAGAGCTGTCATGTTAAGAGCTTCCCAGATCCAGGAAACTGGGCTGGAGCTGGACCCCTACCAAATGTCACCCTCAGACTTCCCCACTGCCACCACTCATTTAACCCACAGCCTTGTTCTACAAAACCCCCCTGGCAGGAGCTAGTAATCTGAGTGGAAGGAAGGGAGTGAGGCTCCAGCCATTTCTGGGTGACCAGGAGGCCAGTCCAGCCTGAGAGAGGGCAGTCCTTCCATTCAAGGGGAAGGAGGGTGGCTTCCTGGAGTATGTTGGCTTGAGTTTCCTTCACACCCCCCCCCAAAAAAAAATCAAACCTTTATTACTCATCCTGGGAGACATAAGGGCTGGGAATGCAGACAGCGGTGGCTCCCACAGTTATAAATAGGCTGAGAGGGAGGGGAACAAGTGTGAAGACGTGCTAAGTGGAAGATTCCTGTCTAAAACCTTGAGTAATGGAATTGGAAGACCTCCTGCCTAGCTGATGTCCTTTCCCACCTCTACCCTTCCACCAAGGAAAGCAAGACAGAAGAGAGCTGGGGAGGAGGAGGCCAGGGAGATAGGGCTGCATAAAAGTTCTGGCCAGACACCAGAGCTCTAGACCCTGTGGTGATTGTCATGGAAGCACCTGCAGATCCTCCCTACTGACCTTTGCCCCCTCTTCCTGCTCTTTTCTGTGCCCTATGGTGCCCTCCCTACACACTGAGAGCATCCCCTGGGGGGAGGAGGGGAGTATTCCTGGAAACCAGAATCCTCTTTCCAAATATTCCTAAGCTGGGGTCCAGGATAATGTCTCTGCTCAGCTGGGGCCAGAGCTAAGGATAATGGAGGTATCCAGGAATTCTCCCCCTAGCCCTCAGTCTGATCGGTGTATTAAGACACAGCCCACAGCTGTTTTATTCTCCCTCTGTATTTAATTTGGATCCTATAATCCAGAGAAGATTCCACGTACAGTTAACTCCACTTTGTTCCCCCCTTCCCTAATGTCAGCCCTATACTGTGACCCCCTACCTACCTCCTGCCCCCCGATGGAGCCCCCACATTGAGTCTCTCTATTCAGCCACTTCTTCCCCACATCATACATTGAGCACCCCATCCCCAGGTTTAGCCACAAATTTAGCCCCTGCCCTAAGCTCTCTCCTATAATCACCTCCCCTACTAAGCCATCTCTTTCCTCACTGACCTCCCCCCAATTCAGAACCCTCCTTCCTAAACTGAACCCAGCCCCACCTCATCTCTATTTAGTTCCCTTACAATCTTCCTGCCCCAGACTGAGCCCCCTACTTACTCGAATGCCTCTACCCACACTTAAGCATTCCCTGGGGTTGGGGAGGCCTCTGGGTTGTGGATCTGACTGACTACAGGCTTTGATGCTAGACTGAGGTGCAATGTTGCTATGGAGTCTCCAGGGAGACTGTGCCAGCTATTATAATTAGATTCCCCCGCTTTGTGCTCTTACGAGAGAACCAAGGGGTGGGAGTCCGGGTTAGTGGCCCAGGGAGCAGATAGCAGCGGGGATCTCCCTCCCCATTCCTGTGGGGGCAGGGATAGATCTCAGGCTAGACAGGAAGGGGTAGGGAGTCAGACAGGAATGAGTTGTTGACAACCTCCTGCTGATGGTGGTCCATCTCCTACATCTCTCTACCAGCAGTGATGTCCCTGTCTCAAAGTACTTTTTTTGGTCCGTGGTGAGCTTTAGGCTAGCCAAAATGGTTGCTGAGGGTTGTCCCATCCCAGAATAGGGTTAGTTTAGGCAAGCTTACCCCCAGGAATTTAAAGTCTGAAGCTGCCCTCTCTCTGGCAGATGGTGTGGTATATGCTCTAGGTGGGATGGGTTCAGACACAGCCCCACAAGCACTGGTGAGGATGTACGAAACTTCCAGGGACCGATGGCTCTCCTTGCCCTCCATGCCCACACCTTGCTATGGGGCCTCCACATTCCTTCAGGGGAATAAGATCTTTGTTCTGGGTAAGTGGCTTCAGGTCTGAAGTTGAAGGTTTGTGTGACTAGAGTTAGGGGCCAGCTTATAGCCACAGGACAGTTTCTGGTTGAGGCCAGCAAGCACTGGCACTGTGAACCTGTCCTCACAAGCATTGCTTTCATTCTCTCCTGTGGGCAGCAGAGGATGATGCAAATAATTGAGAATTGTGTGATTTATGTACGAGGAGAGGGAGCAAGGGGTTGGGGGGCTAAGAGGCTGAGAAGGGAGGGATGCCCTAGTTTGACTCCTCCTAGAATCTTTTCCCTTTATTTTCCAGGGGGCCGCCAAGGGAAGTTGCCTGTAACTGCCTTTGAGGTGTTTGATGTTGAGATGCAGAACTGGACCCGGTATCCGAGTGTGCCCAGCCGGCGGGCCTTTGCTAGCTGTGCCATGGCAGAGGGCAGCTTCTTTAGCCTGGGAGGCCTGCAGCAGCCTGGACCTCACAACTTCTATTCCCGCCCACACTTTGTCAACACTGTGGAAATGTTTGACTCTGAGCAGGGTGCGTGCCAGGTCACTTGAGGGTTGAGAGTCTGAGTGCCTAGACCCTGATTCTTTCCCCTGGCCAGAGAGCATGGGCATTTCTCTATAGATGCAGGTCTAAACTTGGCCTTCAGGTCCATTTCAATTCTCATTTGGGAGCTATAGCAGTGGTTTGACAGTTCACTCCGATTTGCTAGTACAGAGAAACTGTCCTGTGTCTCTTGCAGGTGCCTGGACAAAGCTTCCACGTTCTCTTCGAATGAGAGAAAAAAGGGCAGACTTTGTGACTGGTTACCTTGGGGGCCGAGTCATGGCAGTGGGAGGCCTTGGTGAGTATTCTTAGAGCTCTAGTTCTGTTTATTCTATCTCTAGGACTTGAGGTGGGGAGAGGGCAAGATGGTGGGAGTAGTGACCACTAAGCAAGTGAGCTTACCCCAGGGAGTTACAGTGATTACATCTGAAGCTTAGACACTGTCTCTTCCATTTTCTTGGTCTCGTCCATTGGTGTATAGAGACATTTAATGGGCTTTCAGTTTACCTGCCTGTAAAATGGGGGTGGTTAATTGCCTTACCAACTTCACAGAGATGGTTTGAGAATAATAGTTGGTGACTTTTAAAAACTCAAATATGAAATATATTTTCTTGGGGATCTTTGCTGTGGTAGAGAGTTTAAAAAGAGAAGTGTCTTCTGAAGGAACTGAATATACTTTGCAAAATTAATAAAGCTCCTCTGGGTGTAGGATTATAGCATAATATAGTAGAAGGGACACAGGATTAGGAGCCAGAAGACCTAGGTTCTAAGTGTAACCATGGACAAATTACAGAACCTCTCAGAGGCTCACTTTCCTCATCTGTAAAATAGTGTTAACAGTCTAATCACTGCTTACCCCAACATGGTTGTTGAGGAAAGTACTTTGTCAACCTTAAAGCATCAAATAAAAGTAGTTATAAAACAAGAGGCTTGGATTGGGTGACCTGTGAAGCCCCTCTACTCAGTGTTCTTTCTTTGACCTGGGTCAGGGTGCGTGGAGGCCAGATGCTGCCACGTAGTCTGTCCTCCTGGGGCTACCCCTGGCTCAAGGGCTCAGACTCTTCTCATCACACTGGATCTCTCTTCTCAAAGGCAACCAGCCGTGTCCCCTGGGCTCCGTAGAAGGCTTCAGCCTGGCAAAGAGAAAATGGGAGGTACTGCCCTCGATGCCGACAGCTCGATGCTCCTGTTCCAGTCTCCAGGCCGGGCAGCAGCTTTTTGTCATTGGTGGAGTGGCCCAGGGCCCCAGCGGAGCTGTGGAGGCCTTGTGCCTACGAGATGGGGTCTGAAGACCGGCACAACCCACCTGATCAGATCTGCCCACCAAAGACCACAATGGTGGTTTCTGCAGAGATTGGGTGGTAGGGGTGGGGAGGAGAGTTTACTGCCCCCCTTGGCTCAGTGATGCTATTTTCCTGTCCATGTTTAGAACCAGCTTTGGCTTTCTGAGGTAGGGAGTAGCGCAGGGACACAGAGCAGCCCCTCAGCAAGAGCTGAACCTGGGACATACAACAGTAGCCAGAGGGTTGGCCCCAGTGGTGAGAGTGGCCCACTACCACCCTAAGAGTGTAGGGTGGGCGGGGGAGGAGGTGAGAGAAAGTCAAGCTGGCTACCTAGGGACTGAGCTCTCTTTGGCATTAGCACATCTTCAGCACCAGGGCTCTAGGGCTCCAACTTTTCTGGGAGTGGGAGGCCACCAGTTTCCTCCACATCCCTATACTCCCTTTGCCCTTCCCCAGTGTGGTCCTAACCCAGTTAGGCCACAGCAGCTCCTTGTTGTGGCCCTCAGTAGCTGTACCACCCCTGTGGGCCTAAGCTGAACACGAGTCGTTCAGGAATAGCCCATGAGACCCAATAGGAACTCCTCCCTAGTTTAGTGCCTGCAAGGAGGTGGCCTGGCACACCTGCGCCTCCTGAATAAAGTTGGCCTTCACTGTAAACACAACACTGTAAACACACAACACTCAGTAGAACTGTTTGTGCTGAGGGAACAAAAGGCTTGTGGGGGGGGAGCAGTACTCTTGGGTGGGGGAGTGCTTAGTTTTATCCTGCCCAAAGACCTCTCTTTGCTTAGTATTGGGGGAAGGTGGAGAGAAATGTGGCTTGATGGAATTGACACTGGTTAAGAGACCTTGGTTATAGTTCCCCATTCCACCTGTAGTTGTTGGGTGACTTTGAGCAAGTCACTTCAGCTCATTGTGCCTCAGCTTCCCCATCCATGAAATGGGGATCTATAAAAACCTGCCCTACCTACCTCACAGGGCTGTTGTGAGGTTCAAGGCTGTCATCATGTGAAATATGAAGACCTACTGAAGTGCATGGTGGTGTTAATTACTCTGCGAACTCTGCTTTTCTCCATCCTCTCCCAAGGACCAATCAAGGGGAGGACAACTAGAACCAGAAACCTGTTTCCTGCTTCTTTAGGATTCAAGCCTTTGGGCCTGTATGGACAGCGTGGTACATCTTCCTAATGCTTTGTGCTCAGCTGGGGACCCCTCAGCCAGGCTAGAGGACTAGTGACCAGGTCTCTTGCTTAGTAACACAGTGGGTTGGCAAGAGGCTCATATGATGGCTTGTCAAACTGCTGCAGCCATCTCTGTTCTGTCCCAAGGAAGGTATTCTCTGGCACACGGGTCTTATGATGTTATATTCTTTCATTATAATGTCACCTTATTTGTAAAGGCTTTCTGGAGTATAAGCAGGAGACCTGGGCACTACCAACTTTTTAGGTGCTTAGTTTCCTTATCTGTCAAATGGGGATTAAAAACTTCCCTTTCTACCACATAGGGTCCATGAGAAAATGGATGGAAAAGCTCTTTGCAATGCAAGCTTAAAGTGGTACAGCAGCCCTTCAGATTTTGGACAATCTTGAGGTCTCTCATCTTTGGACCTTGGTCCCTCTTTCAGAGAAGGGAATTTTAGAAGGAGACTATGGGTGCCAGATGGAGCATAGTCCCCTGTCTAGGAAACACAATGCTCTTCCTACATTGGCCTGACTGCTCATGAACTACTTATGTTAACAGGCTAGTGTTTGATTCCCTAGGTCAGGCCTTCATGCTCCATCTTCTCCCAGTGGGCAGAGGTTGAAGGTCTGAGCCATAAAGGGGACCTGGTCCTCCCCAAGAAATATCTTTCCTATTTTTCCCTTGATCTCAGTCATTCCTGAATGTAGTTTGAAAGTTCTGCTTTTCCTCCAGCTGTGTCACATGGGAGTTGGGGGCAGTTATGAGAATTACCAAATACCCAAGCTGGTGCTACTGGGTGTCCTGTGTTCTGGCAATACCCCCTCCCTCCCCACTGGATATTGCTGTCTGTACCACTCCACACTCCTTTATTTGTTCCAAACTCCTACGTTAGGGCAGGTTTCTGGTTGTACCACTTCCTGCCTGAGTCATGCCCTTGTACCAGCAGCACTGCCATGAGAATGGTTCATGGAAAAGGCACTGTAACAGCAGTTAGCTTAATCTCTCCCTTGGGATCCAACTCCTATTTCCATAGGTCGAGTGTGGATTTGACATTCCTAATAGGAGTATCTCACAACTCCTGCCCACAGCACGACTCTCAACACCAGGGTAGGCATGGGAGCTTGAGAATGGGGCAGGTTTGGCTGGGCTCTGGTCCCCTTGCTGGCACACTTCTCAAAGAATTGGAGGTTGTTAGATTTGGAAGGGACCTCAGAGGACATTGGGGCCAACCCATAGCTGAACAGGACTCCCTTCTGCAACATGCCCTCAGCCTCTACTTGAAGATTCCTAGTGATGGGAAGCTCACTACACCTCCTGAGGCAGCCCAGTCTACTCTGGGATAGCTCTAATTGTTCCAAGGGTTTCCTGCCATCAAGATGAAATCTGCCACCCGTTAGTTCTAGTTTTGCCCTCTGGAGCAGATAGAACAAAAGTCTGTCTAATCCTGTTGCCACATAGCAGACTTCAAAATATGTGACGAATCTGTAAATCTTTTCTTCTCCATGCTAAAAATCCCTTGTTCCTTTGAGGGATCCTGCTGGAACAGGAGGAAAAACAAGCTGGAGTTTCTAGGTGCTTTGGCAAAGGATGAGAACTAACCTATTTTCTTTAATGGGTCGAGCCAACGTAAACAGTCAGAGACAGTGAAGTGCAGGAAGGGCTCTGCTTTCTTACGATTCACTGCAACAGGGAGCTCTGGCAGAGCTTGGGAGAGAGCACTCAGGGTAGGGCAAGGGGAAATTCCCAGTTTTTCCTTGGACTCACAAATCTGGGAAATCCCCAGTTTTTCCTTGGTCTCAGAAACTTCCTTTTTAAACTTCTCATCTGGCATTTGGCTTACAAGTTTATGGCAGAAGTTGTGCTGGTAGGTAGTGCTAGGTATTTGGTTAAAGTCCAGGGACTGTGGGGCTCCAGCCTGAAGATAGTGTACTAGTGGCTGAAGAATTGGTCCATCCATGCCACCACCTGACTCCTTCTGGTAGTAGTCTTTCTGATAACTGGAAACGAGGGGCCCCTGGGCTTCAGGAGGCCAGTCGAAAACATTGCATTTCTTCTTGAGCTTCTCCCAAGCTTTCCGTTTCCCTATTCCCTATATAACAGAAGAGAAGGTCACAACTCATTGATCCCAGGCCCAGGGTTACCCCACTGGGGCCTCACCTTTCCCTGCCCCTACTGTTCCTGCTGATCATATCAGTTCAGCCTAGCCTGCTCAACTGATGCAAAACTTGGCCTGGGCCCCAAGGGACACACAAGCACATCCCATCCCTAGCAAAACCATATATCTGCCATATTCCCATCTATGGCTTCTCCTTTTCTCATCTCTTAATGCCTTCCTGTTTTCTTCTCCACCTTTCAGACTTTGCTCTTAGATTTATTCTAAGGCATAAATGATTGATAACACTCAAAGTGTAACTTCCTGAAGTACTTGCATTTTTAATAAGTCAACCTATTAAGGTCTCACGCAGAGAAATATTTTGGCAGGACACCAAAGCCTTTCCAGTGCCTCTAAAATCCCACTACCAACATGGGCCCCTAATTGGCTGAAAGACTGATTTAGAACAAAGGAACAGAGAGTGGAAAGTCCCGCCTAATGGTCCCTCTATGACCCTATCAGGAGCCAGACAGAACTGTGGAAGGAACTAAGGTGCTATCCTTCCCACCCTCCTCCAACACTCACCGGATCAAAGACACCACGATTGTCATGTTTGGAGAATAAGTGTTGTCCTGGTTCCTTGAAAGAAAATAAAAAATGGGATGAGATGGAGGAATATTTGTCTCCCCTACTTTATGGTACCATGATATGAGCACACCTAACTCTCCCAGAGTTTTCAGGAAAATGGAGTGTTTTCTCTGCAGTTGGCTTTTAGAGAAAAAGGCAAATAAGAATAATAAGGGGAGAAAGAACTGCTATGGACTCCAAAATCACGTAGATTACTCACATTGGGATAAATTTGGGAAATGCTACCCTCTGACATTGTGGTTAATGAGAATCCTTACCCCAGGAATAAAGATAAGGATCTTCAGGAATACTTTCAGAAGGAACTCATACACTTAGAGGCATTTCTAATGAGATATAGAGGTTTCCCTTCTTTATGACACCTAGAAGTCAACTTCCTCCTCTAATGTGACCCGAGACTCTGTAGCCCTGGACCCTCTGTCAACTGCCATGAAAGCTCAGAGACAGGAAGAATGGTGTGTCAGAGGGCAACTAGAACCCAGGTCTCCTAATTCCCAACCCAGGGCCTTGTTCACTATGTCATACTGCTTGTTTGACACAACACTCATGCTCTCTCCCAGGTGTTAAGCAAAATTATCACTTGAACAGAGAAGGGCTCATCAGGCTTGTTAGAAACATCTCATAATACAACTGGTTAGAAGTGTGGAACATCCAACTTTCTTTGCTCTAAATCTATACTCAATTGAAGAAGGATTTGATCTTGAGTGTATTTGCCTGCCAGGAATGGGCTGTTAAGTTCAGTGAAAATGCAAATGGTTCTTAGGGTGCTTACTGATGTACATTCCCCTGTTGTCCTTCCACACTTATATCTTATACTGTTCAAGGAATCTACTGATTTTCAAAAATTCATACATCATATTCATTAGTTGGGAAATCTAGAGCAGAGTTCTAGGGTCTGGGTAAGCTGATCAAGACCTGCATCATCCATATACTATTCCCTGAAGTCCAGTGGATATGGACCAAGGTTCTTGGCCCCCTTCTTGCTATACGTTCACTTGGGGACCTCATAAGTTCACCTAGGTTCAATCATCTCTCCATAGGGAACTCTCTGGTCTATATATCCTGCCCTAGTCTTTCTCCTGAGCTCCAGCCTTGCATCACCAAAACTGCCTATTGGATATTTTGAACTGAATGTCCCATAGATGTCTCAAACTTAACATATGTAAAGCACAACTCATTATCTTTTCTTCTGAACAGCCCATTCACTCATTTAAATTTGCAGCTTTGGTATCACCCACTTTCTCTCACTTTGTATATCCAACCAGTTGCCAAGTTTTGTAGATTCTGTCTTCACAACATCTTTTGCATATGTCTCCTTTGCACTCATTGAGCACCATCCTACATCAGGCCCTCATCACCACACCTGGACTATTGCAAGAGCCTAGCCCTAGTTAATCTCCTTGTTTTCAGTCTTTCCCCTCCCTAATCCATCCTCCACACAGTCGCCAAAGTGATAGAATAGTCTGTTTCACTCCCTGGATCAGGAAACTACCAAGGCTCCTTAGAACCCTCTACGATCAAATGCAAACTTCCTTTGTGTGGCATTGAAAGCCCTTCACAACATGACTTCCATTTACCTTTCCAGACTTATATATGTAGACATCTATACCTATATCTATATCTGTATCTATATATCTCACTCCTCCATGTACTTTATGGTGGCCTATCCAAATTGGCCTTCTTGTGGCTTCTCTAACAGGACACTCGCCTCCATGCCTTTGCATTGGCTGTCTCTCGTTCCTGGCATGCACTCCCAAGTTTCCTTCATGGCTCAGTGCAAGTGCCACCATCTACAAGAGGCCTTCTCTTTTCTCTCAAATTGCTAGTTCCTTCCCTCCCAAATTTACCTTGTATTAATTTTGTATACACTTATTTATGTATGTGTTGCCAATAGAATGTAAGCTCTTGAGGGCAGACACTTTCATTTTTGTCTTTGTATTCCCATAGTGACTAACAGTAAGTACTTAATAAATGCTTGTTGAGCCACCCTGCACAGCCCAGGCAGAGACAGTCTTCTATTCCTACCTTCCTTTAATTGCAAACATATATCAAGTATGATTAAAGCCCTCCTCCAAAGCCTCATTGTAGTAGGAAGGTGACTAGATTCTTGAAGGCTCTGTCAGCTGAGCACAAGCTCTGGGAGATCCCATGCCATGCTAAACACTTCAAATATAGGCCTAAGAATGAACTGTGTTATTTGTCATCTGAGTATGAGCCCACCCAAGTTTGGAAAGGCTTATCACAGAAAGTAGCCTCCCAAATGATGATGTTTTTGAGGTGTTGTGATCTATGGGTAGAAGGAGTACTGACTGATGAAATCACAGAGCTTCATGCGGTCTTACTTAAAAAAGAAAAAGTAATGGCCAGTGGAGAAGGCAGAGTTATCACAGTGCCCAACAGTTCATACATTTACACTTATAGGATTGTACACCATTAATGATGATCCTTGGGCAACTGCATCATTTGAATCATCAAAAAAAAAAATGCTTCAAGGGCAGCTAGGTGGTGCAGTGGATAGAACACTGGCCCTGAAGTCAGGGGGACCTGAGTTCAAATTTGACCTCAGACACTTGACACTTATTTAGCTGTGTGACCCTGGGCAAGTCACTTACTCCATTGCCTTGTTTCCCACCCCCCCAAAAAAATGCTGTGATGGTGTTCAACAGATTTTACTTGCTAAATCAGGCAAATGAATTTAGACATTTTACAAAGGTTTTCAACAGCAAGAATTAAAACAAAAAGGGTTTGCTTTTTGCTAATCCTCATTTAACCAGAATATTAAAGTTGTCATTAGAACCCAATACTCAAGCACTCTTCAGGGACATTATGGTACAATGGAAAAAGTGCTGAATGTGGAGCAAAGAAAGCCTCTCACACTGACTAGTTATGTAATTGTGGGCACCACCCTGCCAGGCCTCAGTTTCCTCATCTGTAAAATGTGGATAAAAATACCTATAGTACCTACCTGACAGGATTGTTTTGACGATCCAATTAAATAACATATGTAAGCTGCTTTGCCAACTTTAACTCACCATATACATATATTAGCTATTATTATTACATAGATTAATTAAGGACTCACCATATTAGCCCTTTTGATTTTTCAATAGTTTCAAGTTTATGTTTCAGTTGTAGTATAGCTTCTTTTCCCCAGCCCTGAGGGGTGTATTAAGTCAGGAGTTGTAGCTACCTCCTGCAACTTTGGATGTGGGCGCCTGTATGACCTCCCTCATACTGTTGTAAGGTTCTGCTCTGGACTGGCACATCTAGGGAAAAGTATCCAGGGAATTGACTCCCGTTGTTCTTCCCAGACTACTTCAGCTTCACCATCAACTCTTTGGGAAATGGTCACAAACTTGCTCTTACTAAAAGCTTTGCTAATAATTCCAAGAGCTGAAACTCTTCTTGCTTTTGGTTTTCAAACAGAAATTGTTTGCCTTGAGTATGGAGGACAACTGAGTTACGGGGTACTGGTATCTGAGATGGCCAGTCTTGCAAAGCCTGTTGAGAAAACTGGGAACTGGAAACATCTCCTAGGGCTGTCTTCTGAGATTATGCCATCTGTTCTAGACTGGGAAGAATGTGCACTAGGGAATGCAGAATGGTATAATGAACTTAGAATTAACACTTGTATTCAAATCTCGCTTCAAAAAAACCACCTACCTCTGGGACCCAGAACATATGACTTCTCCTGTCTGAGCCTCAGTTTTCTTATCTGTAATATGGGAATAATAACATCTGTAGCCTTTACCTTGAAGGGTTGTTGTGACGAGTGAATAATATGGGGTTGTCCCAAAAGCCTTTGTGCAGTTTTAAGCTTTAGTACAGAGACACTCTCATTATGTAAAGTACTTTGCAAACCTTAAAGTGAAACATAAATGTCAGTTATTAGTACTGTTACTGTCTCAATACATTATGTATCAGAGGAAAATGGAGGACTGGGAGAGAACTGCCCAGTGGGACCTTAATTATCTAGGTTAATCTAGGGCAAAGTCTGACAATGATCTGTAGTTTATCTGGTAGAATCAGAGGCCAGAGAAGTAAAACAAAATGGGTCTTCAACTGGTCTGATTTGTGAAGAATGTGATCTGATACAAGAAAGCTAGAGCTCTTAGACAGCCAAAGAAGTGTCAGCTTTCCTTCTACCACTGCTCAGGCAACCTAAATGAAACCCAAAACTGCTTTTTGGTAAATACATAGTACCTGGTGCTTTTGCCTACCAGGAATAAGCTGTTCAGTTCAGTGAATGAATACAGTGGCTGAAGAATTGGGCCATCCATGCCACCTGACTCCTTCTGGAAGGGGGAGGTTCAATCAGGCTGTGCAATCAGGGGCCTAATTGAGGACACAGCCCTCCCGAGATTCACTTTCCTTCCTCATGGGCAGCCCATCTTCCATGGATACTTCAGCTATCTGCCCTAAGCCTCTCTACTTGAGGAAATTAATACCACCATCATTAGCCTTTTGTTGAGCATTTGGTTATGTAGCTAGCAGTGAGTATTGACTGATGGAGATGGAGGAACTGAGCCTTTCACACCATATAGGAAAAAGAGAAAACAAATCATGCAAATGGATCCACAGGGATCCATTTGATTTGAACAGTGCCATAACCTGGCTTCCTTTGGAAAGCAGAATTCAAGGCTAACTTCCTAGTCTCCTAAGGATCGACAGCCTTTGTACCACTGGACTTTAGAGCTGGTAAGGACCTTAGTCTATCTTCTCCATTTTACAAGAAAACTGAGGCCTAGGTGAGAGAAGTAACTTCACAGGTGGCAGCAGAGCTGGGATTCAAGGCCAAGGGTTCATTACACCAGATTCTGTACGCTTTTCCCATTCCCTGGACTCCCAGTAACCTGGGCTTACATTCTTATATGAAGCTCAACTTCTCCCCCAGACCAAGACAACCGCTCACAGGACCTAGAACTGGAAGAGAGCTTTAGATAATATGGTCAACAACCTTTTCATATTACAGAGGACAGAGCTGAGGCCCGCAGAGAGGAAATCATTTCCTCAAAGTCACACAGGTAGGAAGAGCAGAGCAAAGATTGGGACCCAGGTCTCCTAACTTCAAATACAATGTTCTTTTTAAAACAAAACAAAACAAAATAAAACAAAAACCTGTGTTGTTCTGTACTTGACCCACAAATTAAAATGAACATTCCATGTATAAATAAGAGAAAGAGATTGTATATGCAATCTTTATGACAGCTGGCTTTAAAAAAAAAAAAAGCATCTAATATTTGTTTCCAAACTCTCCTGTTTGTCCCTCCCTCCAACTCTCCTGCTGTTCTCTTTGGTGTGTGTGTGTTTGTTTTAATGCTTCAGTGATCCTCTTTTTCCCTTCTTTTTCATTATTCTTCTAACCACAGAACAATTCCCATTCTCACGGACATTTTCAGAGTTTATTTTTGTTTGCTTATTTTTAATCTCTGCCTTAGAACATAAAGGCTGCCTCAGGATCTGGGGTAGTTCATTCTGGGGGAGAGCCAAGAAGTCTGCCTGTGGCCAAGTGACTCTCTTCTCTGAACTTCTGGTCCTGTTGTGAGAGTACAGCATTAAGAACAAAAAGAATATTGACAGGCAAAAGGGATGATTCTGTTCTGGTTCCTCTGTTCTGCCTTCCGAAGGGCCTACAGCCAGTGGTGCCCTCCCCTTCTTTCTTGTTTTGGTCTGTTTTTTTTGCTAGGCAGTGGGGTTAAGTGACCTGCCCAGGGTCACATAGCCAGTAAGTGTCAAGTGTCTGATCTGAGACTGGATTTGAACTCAGGTCCTCCTGACTCCAGGACCACTGCTCTATCCACTGCACCACCTAGCTGCCCCTCCTCACCCCCCCCCCCCCTTTCTTACCTTAATTCTTTGTAGGAACACAGCTGGAGGCTGGGGCTTGGCTGCTAGGCGGTAATCCTGAGCAAGTTCACACTTGAATTGGCCTCTGTAGTGACCATAGAAACCAGAGTTGTACTGTAATAAGTAGTAGGAAAGCTAATGAATATGACTCGTTCCCTGGGTACATAGGCCCTAAGGGTATCAGTTCAAGGTTGCTTCCCAGGGCTTTGTCATTAGGGGAAATCTCAACCCACCGAGGCTCCTGGGTAGGCAGGAGCTCACAGCTGCACATCGGAGAGGAAGCAGATCTCTGAAAGGAGCTCAGGTCTCTGGAGTTCAAACCTCTCGGGGGAACATTTGTGACCTCTTAGGGGGAAACATTCAGAGATACTCTTTTAATGTAATTAGGGTAATTAGAATTTAAAACATATGCACCTTTACAAAACAAAGGGAGCCAAGGGGAGGGAGGGGAACCACTTCTGTAACCAAAAGACGGTGGGGAATGGGGTAAGGGAACCATCCCTGATTGGGAAGATTATGGAGAACCAGTCGTGGGGCTGTGGGGCTGTAGAAGGCAGTTCAGCCTTCCCTGGGGTTAACTATTGTTGAAGCAGCCATATTCATCCTGAGGGAATCCAAGATGGAGCCTGACTATACATACGGCATGCTCCCAAGCTCCTACATGGATTGTTTCTCATATCTCCTCAATCATCCTTCCTCCCCTCCCCAAAAGCCAATAGCTCCCAAATCTAGTGTGAAAGGCACAGACTAAGAGGGGATATAATCATAATCCATAGATTCATTAGTAGTCTGGATAAGAGAAGCACAGCTTTATTTACACGGCAAATATTGAAATGTTACATACTCTAGTGTGTGTGTTTATGGAGGGGGTGGATGATTGGAGGGGATGGAATCGGAGAGAGCTGTGGTAGAGTGGAGAGAGCCACGACTTTGGTGTCAGAAAACCAGAGTTTGAATTTCAGTTTTGCCACTTTCTAATTGTGTGACCTTGAGTAAAGTTAATTTCTCTGGGACTTTTTTCCTTATCTGCAAAATGGGGATAATATTGCCTGTAGTATAGGCCTCATTGTGTTTTTGGTAGAATCATAGATATAAAGCTGAAAGGGACCTTAGAGATAATTTAGTACAATCCCCTCATTTTATAGATGAAAAACTGAGGCCTACAGAGGTTAAATGACCTCTGTAGTGTGTGTACCACACAGCAGGCAACTATCAGAGCTGGAATCTTAGGAGGCTCAAATGAAATAAGAAATAAGTACTTTATAAATCATAAAGTGCTCTGTAAAAATGTCAGCTGCTACAGCATTAGGATCACATAGACGTAGTGCTGACATGGCCTTTAGAGACCCGCTGGTCCAATTTCTTCCTTTTGCAGAGGAGGAAAGTGAGAACTAGCTCAAGGTCCCACCTCAGCTAGTCAGTGTTAGAGGTAGACTGTGGACCTAGGGCTTCCTGCAGAGCTGGTACTGTTTCTCCTGTACCATGCTGCCTCAAGTTTAGGACAGAAAAATCACATGACACACTAGCAAACTTACAAGATCAGTATAGGCAAACAACATAAATGCAAATAAAAAAGATTTTGATAAATTTCTGACAGGACCATAGATGTTACCTTAGCTTTTAATTAAGATTAACGTCAAAGAGACCCAACATATCCAGCCATACTATGTCAAAATCCTAAGCTGAATGGACCATTGGGTCTAACCCAGCCACACAATTCTTATGATCCTGAATTGTTTCTAACATAGTCCTTTGACTGAAAGAAGAAAGCTAATCCTGGACCCCAGACCCCAGGAAGGAAAGCAAAAGGCAGCAGGCAAGGAAAAGTTTTCCAGGATTGTCAGCAGACATCCACAGTAGCTCATGGCTTAATGCATCCTATCCATTAGGATTCATGAAAAAAGTCCCTCTTTTCTTGGTTGCTCTTCTGGTGGCCCCATGGCTTATCTCTGGGTACTTGGGGTGTGCCAAAAGGATACAAGCTGATACAATACTCTCTTACCCAATAGGTTAGGGAGCCAATAGGAGTGAGCTGGGCTGGTATCTATATAGGAGAACTGGAGTCAGGCTGACTAGACCAGAATAGAGGAAGGAAGCCTCATTGACAACATCTACAAAGGCTGAATTGGGCAGGCTGAAAAAAATTTATAGCTGTATTTTATTTTTCATTGCCTTCATTTCTGTATATGTCTCTCTGCACCCCTCTACCTAGTGAACCATCTTTTGTAAAGAAGAATAAAAAAGAAAGAAAGAAAGAAAGAGAAAGAAAAAGAAAGAAAGAAAGCAGTCTAACACAACTACCCATCCCCTCAATCATGTCTGGCAGGATATGTGATACTCAACACCTAGAGTCCCCTGACTCAGCAAATAAGGGAGGCAGGTCCATTTAGAAGAAATTTGAGTTGTGAGTGGGCAGGGGAAAATTGGCAGACTATCAGTTGTTCATTTTTTAAAATTTAATGTAATATTTTTTCAGATGTTCATTTTTAATCTAGTTACAAGCTTACAACCTAGTCAAAGATATATAACCTGTGAAACTTAGGGCAAACTATTTCCTTTCTCTGGGTTCTAGTTTCCTCATTTTTGGATAAAGGTAGGACTAGATGACTCTAAAGTCCCCTCCAAACTCTAAATCCTATATTCAAACCTGTAATTATTAGGGTGACAGGGTCTTTGATGCAGGATGCTAACATTTAGAAGGTGCTGAAAACACCTATGCTTCTGAAATTGGAAACTGAACTTAGCAACTAGTTAGGAGGAATAATTAGTTAAAATATGAAGGAATCTGTTGGTTCTTCCTCCCCGTGTATTACCCTCATCCTTGGATGACTTCCCTAACAATAGCCACAGCATGTCCTAAGATCTCAAGACTCTGTCCTGAGGTCCAAGTTCTCTCTGACAAAAGTCCTCTTACCTTAATTTATTTTGAAAAGCTGATTTGAGGCCTCCCATAATTCTGCTCACCCCAGAGTACATTTTGGGGATTTGCTTGGGGCATTAGAATGTCTAGTTAAAGCTTTATGCCCAGGACCTATAATCTTTAGGTTCTCTTTATATTTAATTCTCTTGGCTCTCTCAAGTTTCAGGTAATCAATTAATAGAACAGTCACAGAATTAAGGACTAGGGAAATTATGTAGCTAATTGGTTGTAGAGAGGCTCTTACCCAAGATCCAACTAAAGCACTTTGCATCATCTCCCAAGGAAGTAAGGTGAACAGCTGGAGTAGCTGCTATCTCCTCTGCTTGAGACTATTAAGACTGGAAAGACAAATGCTCTGTGGTCAGCTCCTTGTTGCTTAGATACCGAATGAGTTGTGACTGCACAATACTGATTGCTGGAATGAAAAATGGCTTTCTTTGCCCTGTTTCCTTCATGTTTTCATTTCTCTTCTAGGCAAGGTAACTTTCTTGAAGGAAGCTGTCCTGGGAAGGATATCTTATATATAAATCCATGCAGTATAGAGGAAATGAAATTAAGGGTAATATCTAACTTAGAGTAATGTCTGAGTTCCATTCACTTAAATATTAAAGAACGTAGGAAAAAAATTTGCATTTTAAGCCTAGCTCTTACACAGGCAGGGATGCTAATTTTAGAAACAGTTCCAAGGGAGCCAGAAGAAATGTTGAAAGGGATGGTAGTTCTTAAAAGATTAAAACTACAACATAACAGTGAGTTTCTGTTATTAGCCAGTCTCTCAAGAAGTCAGGGATCACCAAAATACCTTGATGAGTCAAGTAAACAAGTATTTATTAGCACCTACTATATGCTAAGTGGTGGGACTATGCTGTCATTGTTCAGTCCTTTCAGCGTTTCCAACTCTTCATGACTCCATGTGGGGTTTTCTTGGCAAAGATAATGGAGTGATTTGCTATTTCCTTCTCTAGCTCATTTTGCAGATGAGGAAACTGAGGCAAACAGGGTTAAGTGCCTTGCCCAGGGTTGCACAGCTAGTAAGTGTCTGAGGCCAGATTTGAACTCAGGTTTTCCTGATTCCCAGACTGACACTCTATCCACTTAGCCACCCAAGTTATTGTTTTCTTCTATTTGAGAGATGAATAAAACAAGATAACAGTGTTTTCCACACTGGCAACACAAGGCAACAATGGTTCCTTGCCCTCAAGGAGCCTACAATCCAATGGGAGAGACAACATGCAAACAACTAAGTACTAACAAACTAAATACAGGATAAATTGAAGATCATCACAGAAATAAGGTACTAGCACTAAAGGCAACTAGAAAAAGCTTCTTGAAGAAGGAGGATGTTAGCTGAGATTGAAGGTAGGATCCAGGAAGCTAGGAAATCCAGAAGGCAGAGACAAGGAGGTAGAGAAATCTAGGCATGGGGGGGGGGGCAGCCAATGAAATTTCATGGAGTCTGGAGATGGAGTGTTTTTCTGAAGATTGGAGTGTTTTTGTGTGAGGAACAGCAGGGAGATCATATCACTGGATTATAATAAGATACACAGCAGTGGAAAGAGCACTGGCCCTGAAGTCAGGAGGACCTGAGTTCAAATCCAGCCTCAGACCAAACACTTGACACGTACTAGCTGTGTGACCCTGGGCAAGTCACTTAACCCCAATTGCCTAAAAAAAATAAATAAATAAAAATAATAGAATACACAGAGGGAAGTAAAGTATAAGAAAACTGGAAAGGTAGGAAGGGGCCAGGTTGTAAAGGGCTTTAAAAGTCAGATGAGTTTATATTTCATTCTGGAGGTAATGAAGAGCCACTGGATGTGAGATGACATGGTCACACTGATGCTTTACAAAGATCATTTTGATAATATTTTGATGGACTAAAATGGGGAAAAGACTTGAGGTGGGGAAACCAACCAGAAGGTGCTGCAGTAGACCAAGAGACTTTGTCACCAATGCAGTGACAAAGGCCTGCACCAAGATAGTGGGCAGTGTCAGAGAAAAGAAGGGGGCATATATGAGAGGAGATGTGAAGGCAGAATTGACAGGACTCAGCAACAGATTGGATATGGGGGAGGGGTAAGAGTGAGGAGTGAAAGGTGACATACTTAGGATGATGATAGAAATTTAATTATGCAGGCATTATCATTCTATGCTTTCTCCCTTCCTCACCCCTGCTTACTCCCAAATGATCTGTTAGCATCAAAAAGTAAGGATTTACCAGGAGGGAAAGAAAACTTTGTACCTGGGCTCTCAAAATATTTTTTTCTTCTTCAGTAATGAATAGAAGCCTCTTTTCTTAGTATCTCCCAGTGAGGACACAATCAAATATTCCCAGGTCCAAATTCTGTTCAGGTATGAAGCTAACGAAATTCAAATGAAGGCCGAGAGCATAACAGAACCCTAGAAAGGTAACATTCTGGGGCAGCTAGGTGATGCAGTGGATAGAACACTGGTCCTGGAGGCAGCAGGACCTCAGTTCAAATCCACCCTGAGACACTTACTAAATGTGTGACCCTGGGCCAAGTCACTTAACCCTGATTGCCTCAAAAAAAAAAAAAAAAGTAATATCCAGCGCACCTAAAAGAAATTCTGTTCTACTCTCTATGGCTCCTTGTTAATTAATATTAGATCTGCCTGGTATGGAAAACACTGTTATCTTGTTTTATTCATCTCTCAAATAGAAGAAAACAATAACTTATATTTCTAAAAAAAAAAAATCAATTGCTCTAAGTTTATTGAAGAAAAAATCATAACCTAAATACAAAGTCCTAGCAGATAACCAATCTAGACTAGGAGTTCTCTTAAGTGTTAAATGTCCATGGTCCATGGATAGACTTCAGGGGGGTCCATGAACTTGGATGGAAAAATATTTACATTTTTAACCAAAATTGGACATTTCCTTCTATTATGAATGCAGGTAATAAACGTTTATTCTGAGAAAGGTTTCATTAGGCTTCACCCTACAGTCAAAAGGGTCCATAACACAAAAAAGGTTAAGGAGCCCTGGTATAGAGGATGTTAAGGGGTCTGATTAACAAGGGTTAGGCAGCCTTTCCATGTGTAAAGAATTAATGTTATTGCTGCAGGGAGAACAGAAAATTTTCCTATATTTGGAAGCATCCCCCCTACATAGAGGAACAGAGAGAGAAAGATGGGTATAACTACCAGAAACCCTTCTGGATCCTTCTTCCTAGTGTCCTGACCCAGGATCCATTCAATTTAGCCTAGGATTTATAGTATTCTCATATAGATAATTCATAAATTTATCACAAATTGTTTTGCCTGCCCTCTGGGAAAATCTCTGAATACAGCTCATGCTCCATTTCCCATTAAGGTACTTAGCTCCTTCTCAACTTCCCCAAAAGGAAAAAAAAAAAACACTTGCATTATAGTTTAAAATACATTTTCTGCATGAAATCAGAATTTAAAGAATACAATATAAATAAACTTTCCAAGCAGCTGGCAGCCTGCTGCTTCCAGCAGGTCTGAACTCCCAATTCAGTTCACAAACTTCACTTTTTGCCAAGGGAACAAATGTTCCCTGGAGCTGTTGGCAGAGGAGAACCATCATTTGCTCCCCTCCCCAAATCAGTCATGAAGTGCTGAAATATGCCATTTCATTTGAGTGGCAGTCACATTTGACTCCTGTAGAGGCAGCTGTTGCTCTCTCATGGATGCTGGGCAAACTCTGGGGGCTGAAGCTCACTACAGATGCCTCAGACATTTGCTCTGTACCAGGCCTCCAGGAAATCACATTTTAAGTTCATCCATGATGCTTCTCATCAGCTTACTCTCTCTTGGTTTTAAATGTCCTATTGTAGTGGACAATGTTCTTATAGAACATTTTTTATTTTATTTTAATATCCTAAGGTTTATTTTATTTTATTTTTTTATTTTAACATCCTAAGGTTGTACAAATGTCATAGATACTTCCCTACTTTGGTTTGGTTAGGGTTAGAATTGGAAAAATACAATGGGACGCTAAGGAAAAGATAAACCTGGTCAGCAAGTGTTACAACATCATGTAAAACACTCCTTACAATTTCACCTCTCCCTGCTTCCCATCTTCAATTCATTCAACATTTATTAAATGCCTGCCATCTTCCTCATCTATAAAATGAGCTGGAGAAGGAAATGGCAAATTACTTCAGTATCTTTGCCAAGAAAACCGGAAATGGGATCACAAAGAGTCAGACATGACTGAAATGACAACAACAACCTGTAAGGCATTGTGCTGGGTGCTAGATTTACAAAGACAAAAAAGTGAAGCAGTTCCTGCCCTCAAAGAGCTCATATTCCATATCAACCACAGCAGGAATGGTCCCCATATATTTTCCATGGGCCATGCTCACTCCTGACTTTGCTTATGCTGGTTCCTATCTGGATTTGCACAAAATAGGTGATTTAATACATTCCTAAGCACACTCTAAATTTTATCTCTTTTCCAAGCATTAAATATAGTGATTTGCACAGAGTAGGCACTTTAAACATTTGTTGAATGAATGGACTGTTCTTCCTGTCCTTTCGACCTATCTGAATCTTACCCATAATTCCTACTCTACAATTTGCCAGGAGAAACATTTCACAACTTCCCCATCAGTAGATTAACTGCCCTTGTGTAGTTTCCTGGAAATGCTGGGTTTTCTTAGCTTTTACAAGGAATTTTTTCCTGGTAAAAAGTCAGAGGGGAAAGGGGATAAGGTCATAAGCATGAGAAATTAAACAGGGAGGTCTTAACTATTAGGTCGTTAAGATTCCCAGAGACAGAGCCCAGCACTGTATCTCTGTTTTTGCTTTTACTAAAAATAAATCTGGCTTATTTCCAGGTAGGACTATGATTAAGACTTCTATTTTTGTTAAAATGGAAGTCTGTTTTCCTTTGGTTATATGGACTGTGTACTTTTAAAATCCATGTAGCAGCAATATGCAATGCTAAACTCATTCAGAGTTTCTTCCTGTGGATGGGACAGCTAGAACCAGGTAAAGAATGTGTGCTTTAGTAGAGATCTGCTGTACAGTTAGGCTGCCCAAATACAGTATTTTACAGGCAAGTAGAAAATCCAGTATAGGATTCTCATAATGTACAACTGAATGTTTTGGCTGAGCTGAGATGCCAAAGCTTTTGGATGGATGCTGGGCTACTGTTATTTGCTTAAATAATCAGCTCATCTGTTTTCTGGTTGTTTGAGCATATGGCAGAAATGTTCTTTCTTCTGTCTTCTGTTTCTGGGTGAAAAACATTACTTTTGGGTTGAGGAGAGGAATGCTAAT